GACCCTCATGCCAATAATGTTGAAAACCAGTCTTTCATTTCTGGGTCAGTTAGGCTGCTCAATTAGCAAGGGATTACAGATAAATTGTATTGTTCTTAGGCCTTTTGTTTTGTGAGGAGAGTTATGCACTGTTACGCATAGAGAAATCTTATATATAGCCATATATGTATTTCAAAATATATTTACATATTTTACATATATATTATGTGCATATGTTTTATAGATATATATATATATATATATATATATATATATATATATATATATATATATATATATATATAGGTATAAAATATTGGACATATATGCATAAAATATGGATCATATATATGTGTCTGATAAGTGGGTAAATACATATATGGATGACATAAGTATCATACATATATACTTGATAGATGGGTGAATACATATGCATAATATATGGATCATATACATACATACAGTCTGTCAGATATATGTCTGATACATATGTCTGACATAAACTGAAAGTTTTTTTAAGCAAAATGAATACACCAGCAACAAACATGCGATAAAAAAACCTTATATTATGTAACATGCAGCTAGCATTTATGTCACATAAATGTCCATATGTGACTAATATAAGTTGGATAAAAAGGAAATCCATATACGCATATTTGAAATCCATACATTGCCATATATCAGATTCCGTATGGTATTTATGTTAATGTCATACCATGTTGTTAATAAGTTTGATTTGATTCTTTATATTTTAATGTGGAGATAATGGGAGTACTATATGATGTTTGTTGCTCACATGTTTTGGAATGCATTGAAACAGAATGCTACAAAAAAAACCCCTGAGAAATCAGACAAACTTGTGAAACTAAACTAGTGTCAAATGGAACAGTACAATGTATTGAACTGTTTTGTGACTAGCTTATTCGCTTGTAGCTAGTGTGTTAGCTTGGGCCTAACATGTTAGCTTGAGGCTAGAGTGTTAGATGAGGACACTATAAAGCACAGCTTTTATTTAAAAATATATATTTTTATAATTTTGCATTTCTATTTTGCAGTCAAATAATGACATTTGTGTACCGTTACACCCCTAGTATTGTATCGTAAAAAATTGAGATACTGTACATGATTTTTAAACCTAGGATAAACACGTATCTTTTCATGTGTGTCAGTATCTTAGCTTATCCAGTTCCAGACCTCTCAAGGAAATCCAACTACCATCCAGTACCTAGTTTGGCTACTCAGTTCTTTATCAATTTAAAGCATATCTGCTGGTGGTGGAATTTAAACTTGTGTTATATTACCTGTATTTTCTGTATTTATAATAAGATAATAGTGTGTTACATATTGTAACATTTTATATTCCAAATCAAGTGAGCGGTTTTTAATACATGTGTCTCTTTTTTTTCCTCTCTCACATGACTTAAATATCAGCTCGGTTGCCATGGCGAATGATGGTGGACGATGATGAGCCATTGCAGTGGGAGCAAACATGAGACTGGTGTGGTAACAACAGCAAAAAGACAAGCTGCAGAGAAGACCAGTGATACCGTTTATGCAGTAGGGGAAGGAGCTTGTAGAACAGGTTGTGTTTCTGAGTTAGTCATGAGCTGCACAGGGCGTACTGCAAATCTGCAAATCCAATGAGCAGTAACTAGTCACATTACTGTTTTGTGACTTTTACATTGAGGAAATTAGTGATGAGAGGAAAATGGAGGTAGAAGAGGGTCAAACAATCTGTTTTAGCCCAAACATAGTCAATCAGCCAAAACATGACTTGCAGGTTTGTGGTCCAAACTTGAAGCTACAAAGCTAATGCAGGCTGCTCCTGTTATAAGCTATTCAGAGTTCTTTCATATACAGAAAACTGTAAGCTGTACAGTGTCAGAAACCACAAAAGCAAGTCCATTCGAGATAAGTCAACACCTTATTGTGGTTTAAGCAAAGTCTGTGATTTAAGCATGCAGACTGCAATATGCTAACTGATGATAAGCTTTCATTTGTTAGCTACATTAGCCTCAGAGCTGCTGTGTAAAACTAATTAAGGAAACTTAAGACATCAAACATGTTTTGGATGATCGCCTGCACCTGGTGTAACAGGAGAATTGTGCTCCAAACTATTCCTTTAACATGGAATAAACCAAATTCAGGAATGTCCAGACCACTACTCTGTCAACATAGGAGCAAACAAGTAGGAGAGGTGAGGTGGTTGCCTCTGTTTTGCTTTAAAGGGAGCAGGATATTAAAATTTAATCTTAGGTACACGCTCACAAAGAACAGTATATGACAGCATTTAGCAGGCCTTAGTGAAGATTAAATGTTATTATATGTTAGCATAATTGTATTGTATCATCATGTTTATAATAAGCTGTACATTCTGTAAGCATTCTACAAGGATCATATCACTCTTTGTAAACAACTATTAATATGGAGGTATTAATAGCTGTTTATAAATATAATTGGTGCTCTATATCTGCAGCTTCATATAGCTGCCAAAATAATAATATTTAATAACTCCCTGCTAGAGCAGCTTTTTTATTAGATTTTAGAAGATGATCCCTTATTTTAGGTTTTAGAAGGTGATCAGTATCTCAGGGAGCTAGCATGACTGATCCTGATTCAACTAGCCCAGGACGAGCCGCTGTTTTGGGGGAAGGACCTCAGAAGCTCTCCACTCATGGGACGGCTTCCAGACCAGATTCATGTCTGAAATAGAGCTGAATGTAGGACAACTCTGATTTTCCATCTGCTTTTGTACAAGCCAATCTCTCAAAGCAAAGGCAAATGTGGACCCTTTTATTTAGAACGGATGATGCCATGAAAACAACTTTTTCTTTTGAACGTCTGTGAAGACATTAAGATTTGTAACAGTAGAAAGAACTATATTTGTGCTAATGTTTGTGGTTAGATATTTTGAAGAGAAGACTGGGAGAAGACTGAGATCTAGCAGATCTATTAAAATCATTTTGGCCTGGTTCTGTGGAACTACACTGACCACCACTGTTAGCCACATGAAGGACCACTTCAGAACCACTGTAGGAATGAATAGGACCATCTATGCCAAGCACCTTCAGTGCGCACAACTATACATGACTCTTTTTTTGCCCTGCAAGTGGTAACCTATTTACCTTTAGTTATGGCCATTTGGATTGCTATGAGTATATATGCATTTACCGTACACATACCGTGATGCAAGGTCATCATGCGAACCCTGAGTGAACCATCTCCTCCTGGACTCTCAGGACAGCAACCGGGGGTGCTGTCATGGTAGCCATTACACACAGGATGGTCACTCTGTCTCCATGGCTGGACGGTGGCAAGAGAGAGTAACATAGGAGACAGAGAGTACAAAGATTGAAATGTTGCACACAACCTATCACAAAAATAATTCCAGCGCAAAAAAACTAATCAAATTACTGAACAAAACTACTAAAATATGTCTAAATAGTATCTTCACTTTTTCTGTCCAGGTGCTGGTTTAGACAGAGATGAGGCTCAGTGACTTATATTCCTGCATTTTTGCTAATGTTCTGTTGTAAAAGTCATTGTTTACCCGTGTTTTGTCTCAATGTGCTGTGCTGTTTTGTTCAACTTGTTTCCTAATCAGGACTGATAAAGTAAAAAACATTCATTTATACTACTAAATGAGCAATGACCCCAAATGAATTTTCGTGGCCTCATTTTATTTTGAAAATGGGTTTGAATGTTACCTTCTTAAACACTGTCATTGTCACTTTGCTCTACACATTCAGCATAATACACATTTTAAAATATGGTTCTCCAAGAGTTCTTTAGTAAAGGCAATGGTTCTGTTTAGAACCATGAGCTCTATACAGAACCATTTCATGCACCAAAAAGGGTTCTTCTATTGTTACAAGCTTGACATTAACTGTAGACCCTGCTGGAAAAAAAAACAGCACAGACCAGCAGTAATTTCATGCTGGTCTAAGCTGGTTTATGCTAGTTAATGTTGGTCTGGTTCTGGTTTAGCAATGCAGGTTGACCAGCATACCAGTATCCAAAACATATTTTGCTGGTGACCAACAAGTTTTCCAGCAGGGAAAGAATGCTAATTGGTGTTATATAGAACCTTTTTCAAAATACAGAAGCATATACAAGACATTCTCCATTTCATTATGCAAATAACCATTTTAGCATGAAATGCTTCTATGTAGATTTCATGGTTCTAAATAGAAGCATTGCATTTAATAAAGAACCCTTGAAGAAGCATCTGTTCTAAGTGGGTATCAATTACTATCAATATCCACCAGTATGGTTTTAATATATAATATCTTTGTTACTGTTATGAATTTTGAGCTTAGGCCGTTGAGCAATTCTAAAAAATGAGGTATCACTGTCAAAGCTGGAAAAACACATCAACACTCCCCCTGCTGGATAAACAAAGTTGCAGAACTGAACAGTTTTCTTTTAATATTGAGTGATATGGGTTTGGGCAGTAAAACATTAATTGACAAAACTCTGTACCGTGTTTAGTTACTTTTTGAGAAGTGGTAGTTTCCTCTCATTTCATTTCCATATTGAATTCCTTGGGACTTAAGACACAATGTCGCCCTTAATGTGTGAGGTCACGTGACTCACAACAGGCCTCGCTGGATTACAGTTTTCTGAATTAAAACCTTCTTTCCTCAAAGTGAGGAGAACACAGAAAAAAATCAACACCTTCAACCTAATTTCACATCCACAACAAATAATAATTCATGGAAATATCTGATTCAGAGAATCATGTTCAGTCTCATCTCACACTACGGTTACATGTTTATTTTATAGCCTATACATATGTATTTTTCTCAGACCAAACTGCAAGTTTTTTCTGCACTCAGGACTACAATATACGCATTAATAAAAGATGATACACTTCTTATTATAAGTTCTTTGGGAAATCGAGTTTGGCCACACCTAGATCCTGCCCCATTTTCACAAAAAACACACTAAGCTTTTCCTCTGTAGCATTTCTCTGAGTGTGCCGGTGAGTACCCGGCTGTGTAACTTGATAGGGGGCAGAGAGAGCGAGAGAGCGAGAGAGAGAGAGAGAGAGAGTATGTGTGAGTGAGAGAGAGAGAGAGAGAGAGAGAGAGAGAGAGAATAAGGGAATGCTGAACTGCAATGGAGCAGAATACCATACAGGTAATGCAACTTCCAACTTTATATTTCTGTAAAGCGACGGGCTGAGCTGTTCACGCCTGGGACTCAGTAACTTGGCCAAACGCGAAGCATTTCAGCGCAAATATTTGTGTAATTTTATTTTTTTCCCGCTGCAACATCGCCACGTTTTGAATTTTGTTAAAAGGCTGAATTGATTCTCTATCAAGCCAACGACTCGACAAATTTCGACTCAGCTGAACGAGTCGAAACTTTTGGGATTGCGATCAACTTGCGAGAAATTTTCGTCTTTGTGGGTCGATTTCTGAGCTCTGCCTTCCAGACGAGCCGCATTGTTATATCAAAATTGGCCGCATTGAATTTAATTTCAACATCTCGATAATTTTTTTTTGTTAATGATTAATTTCTTTGTGTGTCGTGTCGGCTACCTAGGTCCTCTTTCTCCCCCACCCCCACATTCTCACATTTGCCTAACAGAATTTGTTTTATTTTTCTCGAGTGTGCTCCGAGTTTGATATTAAGCCTCTCGAGACGTTTCCTCATTTCATAAATGCCGTTTTGGGGCTGTTAGTCGAGCGACTAAAACTAAACTAAACAGGAACTTTACTTTGAAATGACGTGGTGATATTGAAATGCTCGGAAATATTGTTGAAGACAGACATGAACTAGGTGGAGCGAGAGATTTATTGTAAACCGCGAACATCATGTGCTGCTCGGCGATTATTCTCAATAATTTACTCAGTGTAGCCTTAGATGAAGAACCGAGAGCGAATATGGACTCATATCGGTGGCGAATATGCCGTATATCGAGAGACTGATTGCAGGTTTGATCAGAGAGAGAGAGAGAGAAACAGGCGAGAGAGAAAGACAAGTCTGAATGTATAGACTGCTAATATTTTGTCACGTCGAATTACACTTTAGGAAGTGAGGCGAGCGAAAATACTCAAATATAACACTGGCTTTTAAATATAGGAAGATAGGAAGTCGGTCTCGTTGAATTATTCTAACAAGAAAATAACAGAAAACGAGTCTAAGGTCGATTTTGGGTGTGTTTTTCATACTGAGCGGATTTCTGCTCTAACTACTTATCGTTGATAAATTTTCCAGACCTACAGCAGCAATAATAACTGTAGCCTAAACAATGTTGGGTTCTGCAAGAAGCTCCAAGGTCACATAACTTGTAGCCCGTGTGTTTCTAAATGTCTTTCCAGCTCTGTCTGCTGCACACCAAATTGTCCCCCAAACACTGATATTATCTGGGTGTTTCTAGTTCAAATACATTGCGAGCCAGTCTTACATTTTGTGGTTGTATCCTAGCCTAGCTGAAGCCCAGCCCGCCATACCTCTTTTCCACCGCTAGGTGCTGGACATGTGGCTTAGCTCTCATAGGATAGGGGCTGGAGGGGGGTATTTATGTATGTATGCATGTATGTATGCATGCATGCATTGGTGGGGGTGGGGGTAGAGGTGCCTGAGAGTGGCTTACTTCCTGACCCTTCTGGGGGGGATTTCACAAATTGTGATTCCTCAGTCAAGCTGGATAACTTAAGCCCAAAGTCAAGTCTGTCCAATAGGACCATTTTTACTGGAAAATCCTCACCATCTTCACAAAAAGGTGGTTATTTTGTAAAGAATGTTATTCTGTTTAGAAGCACGAGTTCTCTATAGAACCATTTCATGCTTAAATGATTTTTCAGATTGTATATGATTCTGTATAGATCTTTTGAAAATGCTTCTATATAGCACCAAAAATGGCTCTTCTATTGTTACAAGCTTACCATAGTAACAAGAGAAGAATCATTCATGGAGCTATATAGTATCATTAAAAAAAAAATCCATATAGAACCATATACAGCACATTCTCTACCAATCTGAAGAACAGTTTTACTATGTAGAGAACCATTTAAGCATGTAATGGTTCTAAATAGGACTCATGGTTCTAAATAGAGCCAATCCCTTTACTAAAGAACTCATAAAGAACCAGTTTTTTTTTTTTTCAAGAGCGATAGCCTTACTGGGAAATCCTGCTTTGTGGAATACCCCTCCCAGTGGTAAGAGTGGGTAATGATCATGGAAAGTATTATTTTGAAAAACAGAATGTCAGCAATTCCACATACTGTGTCCAGTTTAGCAATTAAATAGCTATATTACTACAATATCTTTTTAATTTGACAGTAAAGTTGCAGCAATTATCTGAATTTAAAATAAACAAACCTAGTGAAGGCTTACAAAAAGTTCCTGTTCTGTCCTGATCATGGAGTTTTTGCTTATATTTGATAACCACAAAACCACGCTGGCACTGTATATGTGGAGTTTCCTTTTTGAAATATATCACATTTTAACCCTCAGAGAAATAAAAAAAAAAGTATGTGTGCATTTTTCCATCACTATCAGAGCTGTTTCTAAGTAGCTTAATACACTGGAATGTGTTTTCAGCCATGGAAACATTAACAGTGACGACCAAGGAATTCTTAGTAGTTTAAAGATGACTGAAATCCAGTGTAATTTGCCCCCTTTCAGAACTTAGTGGTGCCTGTTTGAAAGCAGTTTTCATCCAATGAGTAGAGAGAACTACTCGTATGAACCTTAGCGAATTGGAGCAGAAGAATGAAGGCTTTTGTCAGTGACGTTGCACTGCTTTGAGAAATGTGCAATGACTATTGCAGAAATGGATAATTTGGATCATGTGAAAGGGTGGCTGTATGTGTTTGTCAGTCCAGTTTTCATAGTGAACTGTTATGAATCACAAATGTCTTGAATCATTTAAGAGTAGATTTTTTTTTTTGTTCCTCTTGCTCTCTCGTTTTCCTGAGAATTTTCTGTTTACTTAGTAAGGCACTTCGCAATATTGTCTGACCACCAGGAACACAGCAATAAGTTATTCTGTAAAATAATTTATCTCTTATTTATAATGGTGGTATTTTTTTTTTTTAAATGACACATCAGCCATTGTGTGACATGCTAATATTTATAAAATGAACAAAGCAGGCTTTAGGATGTCTGCTACTACTGTTTTTAGCTATACCGCATACGTCTATTTTTATAGATAGCAGTATGTCATACAGTGTCAAACCACATAAGCAAGTTTATTTTAGATTACTTAACTGGCGGTTTGAGGTTAATGTGTAAATATTTAGGTGTACAGCTTGTATCATGCCATCATTGGTGATTATAAGCTTTCATTACATGTTACCTTGTTAGCCTTGTAGCTCCAGTGGAAAACTAAAGAAGCAAAATTCAGTCACCAGGCAAGTCTTGGCTCATTGACATTAGTAGTAAAGGGAAAATTGAGTAAAATTGAATTTTATAGGAATTACAGTGCTCTCATTTCAACAGCACTTTCTCACATCAACTGTTGAAATTCTGCTGAGTTGTTGGAATGGCTTTCTTGACGGGACACCATAATTACTAGACTGCTGTATATAAAGTGAGTAATAGTTTACTTCTTTTGTGCTTTTGTCTCCATCAGTGGTTAGGCCCTCCCTGCTGCCGGCGAGGCACCTTTGCCTTCTACAAGTCGGTGTGCTATAGGCCGGAGGCTGGGGCCCCTGTTAAGGTGTGGACGCTGGGTGAGTTCTACTATGTGCGCTGTGGCCCTCAGGAGCCTGTGTGCATTGCAGAGGTCACCCTGCTGTGGGAGGACCAGAAACAGGGCCACCTACTGGCCAGCTCCAGGCTCTACTTTCTCCCAGAGGACACCCCCAAGGGCAGGACTGGGGAACATGGAGAGGTAAATGAAGCGGAGTATAAGAGGGGTTTAAAAAACAGGCAAACAGTGAGTTGGAAATTGAATGGATATCAGTTTCAATGATCTATCACGTAAATGATACTGACACCAGAGTATTAATGATAATCATACCATTTCAAATTTTTTTAATCCCGATGACGAATAGAGATACTCTCTTTTTAAAAAAATGATGGAAATAAATACTCTACTGCTTTATATTTCTATACTTTATCATTTTTGGTAGTATAAATAAATAGGAAAGGTTAAATAAAAGCTTCTGAATGTAATACCTGTGGTGAAATGATTTCGCCTTGCGTTAGTGCTTTTTAAACATTTTCAGTATTAACAGTTCTGTGGAAATCCTGGTAATTTTGGTCACTGATATGGAGTGGATAGGATGGAAGGATAATAGGTGTAAGAAGTTTTGTCTTAAAGTTCAGTCTGGAAATGGATAACCACTGCACTCAAATCGTCAGAATTTTTAGATTATTCACTATAACGTCAGCAAATAATCTGCTTTGAACTTATTTATTATTTTTAAGTATCAGATCATTTCTAGTTTTATTTAACGTGTAGTCAGTGTGTAGTACTCTAGGAAAACCACAGGAGAAAGAAACACAAGAACAAAATTAGATCAGCGCAAAAGAAGTTGTGATCTTTTACTGCGTTAGTAAGAAAGAGTCTTCACATGATTGTCTACTTACTAGAAATCAGTACAGAGTGAGTTCCTTTTAACAGAACAGGCTGACATGCTGCTCTCTCACGAGTTTGGCTTGTAATTTATTCCTAACTGTTGAAATAGTCAAAGTTAATGAGGTTAACTTTAACTGCACTTGAGCTTTTGTAGCGTGTTTCAGGGTCTAATAATTCGGTGAGATGAGCACTTTAAAACCCCCAGATATTTTTTTACTGGAAAAACACAGTTGTCAGAGCAGCAGCTTAATGTGTGTATGTGTAAGACTGAGTCATGGCAAAACCAGTCATAGCATTTGGAATTTGGAGTCCGATTTCTTGCCCATGTTTTATTTAAACGTAGTGTTTTTAAAGCAAAACAAATCCATTTGACTGAGTACAAAAGCTGGGGAAAAATATTAAGCGACAGGCTCCTGCTGCGAGATGCCTTTTTTGTCACTGTTTTGTCATGCAGTTTTAAAGGCAGGTTCCAGTGTCAGTTGTGCTTTTACACTGGTTTTCAGCAGTTCGGATGGATTATCTTTGCCTGGGGGTTGGTGGCATATTGTTACCAGTTGTTGCCGAGAGTAGCAGGCAACCCCTTTGTCGTTTGGGTGTCAGAAGATATTAGGCTATCAACCAGCTGAACCTGCTCTGGTCTGTTAAACTTATGCAAAGTTTGTATTTGCCCAACTCTGAACCTTATACCATTAAAACATATAGTGTTTGCTTTGATATGGCCATGAAACAATTTTGTGATTGTGTGTATGTTAGGATGAAGTCCTCGGTTTGTCAAAGAAGATCGTGGTCAAAGTGGAAGACTTGGTGAACTGGACCTGTGTAGAACCACCCCAATGGAAACATAGCTGCCCAAAGAGCAATGGCCTCCACACACCTGACAGTTCCCTGGGTGAACCTCAAGGAGTGAAAACCGAGGGTAAGGATAACTGTTCACACAGAGTACAGTCATATGCAAAAGTTTGAATACCCCCAGTCAAATCACATGTTTTGTAGATTTTCTAAGTGAAAATAAGTTAACACTTCCTGTACAGGGAACAAACTTGAATATAGTATTTTTCTGCATATTTTAGTACATAACTACTACTTAATTGCTGAGTTTAACAGATAGGAAAAAGTAAAATGTAATTTAGAAAATGTGGCGTAATTTTTGCACACTTCTTTTATTTAGTTAGTTATATTCAGCAAATAAACAGTACCTGTTATGCACATGTGCAGAGGTGTGTTCTCTGTAAAGAATATGTACATATTTTCACTTAGAAAATCAACAAAACATGTAATTTGACTGGGGCATCGAAACTTTGCATACGACTGTATGTGCTTGTGTATTATCTAGGAAGATATGGGACACTCTGGGCCGAGGCTGATAGCTATCATTTTTCAAGTACATTTATGCCGATACAGATATGTGAACATTTACAAAATGTAGAAATTGCAACTACCACCAAATAAATTAAATGCAGACATTTAACCCAGCGTTGCCTAAACATTCTTCTCTTCCAGAGTATAATTAAGACATAATCAAGTATGTCAAATCTAAATATCTGTCTGATGCTGATAATTTCTTTTTAATGCAATTATCTGCTAATACCAATAGGATTCTTAAATCAATGTGCATCTCTAGTACCATCAGATTATCACAATTTGTCCTTCAAACTTCAGTCAGTTCACATTTTAAAATTAAGTCTCTCACAAGTGCTTCACTAACCTACATCACTGGATGTAAATAAAATCATCAATTAAACTTTACCTTCTTAATGAATCAGCAATGATTGGTTGGCAATTCGAATGATGGTGATAGTTATCATACTGGTCTCTTTTGCAGAGAGAAACACACCATGTTATATTTATGTAATTGTTTAGATTTTTTTCAGTCTATTATACTAAACAAAGCATAATTTACTTGGTCAGTGTCCAGATTACTATTACTAATTACTATACAGATTAAAATATATCTCAATTTTTCACAACAGGGACATTCTGGAGAGACATGCAAAAATATTTCTGAAATAAATACAGGATAATTTAGAGACAGTGTTTCATTTGGTCTTGGAGGCAGTGAGTGTCTTGCTAGCTGCCATATTTTTTGTTCATCACAAGATAAAAAAGGAAACAGTCTATTAAATGATCAACCAACAGAAAGAATGAGTTCTGTAAAATTGAGTGTGGACATACCTGCTTCTACAGAGCAAGAATGCCTGGGGAAAAATGCCCAGTATACTTATTGTCCATAAGAATATCATTTTGATTGTGTGACCTTGTGTGATGATCATCAAAATAATTGGTGCATTACACTTTGATACAGTTGATAATGACACCCTCTGAAATGTGTACGATTTGGAGAACTGCTTGAAAGTTCCTGATGGGCATTTTGCATTTTCCCCCAGATGGTCCTCTTGCAACGCAACAGAGGGTTAAGGTGCTGAGTTACCCCCAGTACTGCCGCTTCCGCTCTCTGCAGAAACGCATCAGGACCAGGCAGGCTCCCCCAGTCTGCAGGACCCTCACCTGTTGGCTTTGGGAGGACAAAAAATGGCCCTGCACAACACACGAGTCATGTACTGCAGGGACATTTTCAACCACCCAAGTCTTGGGGCCAGCCCAAGTTTAATGTCTCAGTTTGGTAAGTTCTGCCTGCATCTTAGATTGTGATACAGAATTGCATGTGGGTATATTAAAAAAAACAAGAAATGTAATGAAAATCCTTGTTTTAACATTGGTGCACACATCACACTAAACTTGTTCACAGAAGTTTTGGAACCCTTTTTAATTGTGACAAAGTGGCAAGTAGCTCAGAATGTGTGGACTCGAGAACTGCTTAATTTAGAGCTTTGCAATCACAAAGAGGCATTATTAAATTTAGAGGTGACAGAATTCAGTTTGTTCAGTGGCAGGTATGATTTTATTCATGTTTCTCTCCCAGGATGCTCTTCTCTAAGCCTGAAGGGACGACCACGGAAAAGAAGGGGCAGAGACGGCAGTGGGGCCGAACAGCAAAACTTCAGCCAGTCCGAAACATGGGGAGAGAGGCTGAAGGTATGTTTCCAGAATCAGTAGAAAGTCTTTTGCTTGTTCAATGTTTCCTGTTCAGGGTGTGCATGTGGGGTCACTAGCCAGACAATTATTTTTTCCCTACAGTGGCATTCCTCACAATGAAGAATACTGCTCTGGAGTATAATGCAACATGTACACTGCTTTGCAAAAGTGGAATCAATGTTGTTAATAATATAAAACCAGTTTGGTTGCGGCTACATAAATAAACAATTGTAATATGATACATTTATTTTATAAAATCATATATTTCAAATATATAGTAAACAAAAGCTTAAGAAACTTTTTAAATTGTCCTAATTGATGGTCCACAGAGCTGTAGCTGATTCTAAAATGACTGAGTGTAACATCAAAAAGGAAGTTGGAATGAAATTAATTTCCAGAATGTCTCATTAAAAGGTGTATATAGATAATTACAGTATGCCATTACCCAAATAAAATTGTCAAAATAGTTGACATATTGAATAAAATCTCTAAAAGTACATAATGTCTAGTTTATAATATTAAAAGGTACATTGTACAAGTTGTATATAAATCAAAATTAGTTAGTGATTCCTTTTGACAAGTAGTCTAAGTTGTATCGCAGTGTCACAAAATATATGACAAAATCTACAGGAAGGAAAAATGAAGAACAGTCTCTCTGTTCCAGAATCAGCAGAAAGTCTTTCGCTTGTTCACTGTTTCCTGTTCAAGGTGTGCATGCGTCCACACGCCTGACAGAGGCAGCTGAACAGGATGTTTAAGAGTTTTGAAAAGACATGCCAGTGGAGGTTAATAAAGTAAAGCAATAGTTTGGTGAAAAATATCATTTTGATCAGCCAAAATATTTGGTGTCAGAAGTCAGCTACATTAGCTTGAAACAAACAAGAAATAAGATGCTTATACCCCAACAATTAGCATCATAGAAATTGCATCCCTGAATCATGACAAACTTGCCTCAACTGCGTCATGTTAAACCATTTTAAATAGACTTTCTTGGGTACTTTGACACTGTATGTGCACTTATCTTTAAAAGTGGACAAACCCATAGCATAAATAAAAACAGAAGTAGCAGCCATATTGAAGTCTGAATTAAAAATTTTTTTTTGGTCCATGATTTTGCCACCAAACATGTTTTGGGTAAAGGAAAACTGTGTGAATGTTATTTTACATCAAATAGTCGCTTTAAATGTCTGAATGGCTGGGTGCAGGAAAACCTGATGGGCGACGTGGAGATGGGATGGGAGGGGAGCTGGCTCCCCCATCCTGAAGAGCAGCTCTTCCTGGACCGGCTGTATCTCTTCATGGAGCGTCGAGGGTCCCCGATCAGCAAGGTCCCCAATCTGGGCTTCAAGAAAAGTGAGTATTACTCTAATGGTTCACCATATGGTAAAATTTTCCCCAAAGACCAAAATTTAAACTTGAGTCATGACTCATGCTTGTTTTTTGTTACTTGATTCCATCTGTAAGTGTTTTATTCTTTTGTCCACAGTTGATCTCTTCCTCATGTATTCGGTTGTCAAAAAGCTGGGAGGCTATGAGGCGGTAAGTTTGAATACTGCACATTTATTGACACTGGCCCAGGACTGGGTCAGGCTTTCTATATTGTAAAGAAGAAAGTGATAGGGGTGAGAGAGTGGATGCTGGTATTCAGAGCTCACTTGACTTGTCTTGCCTAAAGGTGACATCTCGGCGATTGTGGAAGATGGTTTACAATGAGCTGGGTGGCAGCCCAGGCAGTACCAGCGCTGCCACCTGTACCAGAAGGCATTATGAAAAGTGAGTAAGAGCCTCCAATTACACTAGTAAAATCAGTGTCACTGCTGTGGTTTGACAGCGGACTGTTTATTCTGTTCAATCAATTGTAGGTTAATGCTCCCATATGAGCTGCACATAAGGGGAGGAAATCAAGAGCAGAGTAAACCCAAAGCTACAGCAACGTCAGCTGTATGCATCAAAAAGCCTGTGCGTGGCAGAGGATCACAGGGTGCCACGAAGAAGAATGGGGTCACTAGCCAGGCAAGTATTTTTTCCCTACAGTGGTCAATAATCAACACTACTACAAAATCAATAATCAATATTTTTAAAATAAAAAAAACTAATTTGCTTGCAAGTATGTGTATAAAACAACTGTAGTATGATAGTTATTCTACAAAATCATATTTCTAAAATATATAGTTAACAAAAGATTAAGAAACTTTTAGATGGTCCAAATTGATGGAAGACAGAGCTGTAGCTGATTCTCAAATGACTGACAAAAACACTATGTAACATCAAGAAGGAAGTTGGAATTAAATTAACTTCCAGAAAGTTTCATATTTAAATTAATTAATAAATCTGACTAAAATGTATGATTAAAAGGTATACAGGTAATTAAAATGTCTTTCTCATGAGGCTTTATGGCCCAAGCACATGACGTATTGAATAAATTATCTAAAAATACATGGTTTTCTAGTTTCTAATATTAAATTGTACATCCTACAAGTTAGTGTTGTATATAAAATAAAATGAATGAAAGTGATTCCAAAGTTTTGACGAGTGGTGTAAGTTGTATCGTTAATGTCACAAAGTATATGACAAAATCTACAGGAAGGAAAAATGAAGAACAGCTTGGGTTTTGAATGTAGTTAAGTACCAAGATGTTATGAAAATAATGGTCAAAATGCAGATGGAAATTTCTCTTTGTGTTAAATTGATGTAAAAATGATCTGGGAATGAAATATGGTGGAAATAATTTTACTGAATTTTCTCTTCCATTTCATCAGGCAGTACCACCAGATGGCGTGGTGGTGCGAAAAAGAGGAAGACCTCCGGGTAAAAGGAATGCTAAAGGTCTGGCTAAGAACAGAGTTGGGAGACCACCTTTAATTACCAGAATTCGCAGAGAGCAGGTAGCAATTAAAGAACCCCAAACGTTGCCAGACTACCAGCAATTAAGGGTTTCTCAGCCTCCAGCATCCATCACTCATCTGCCCTTCCAACCTAAAGTGGTTGAAGATATGAAGATAGACCTTGAACCTTCAGCTCCTTCATCATTGCCTAGTCAATCTAAGCTTCAGATTGGAGGTTCTTTGGAGGGCTTCAGCCCCACCAAAGGCATGTGTCCTTTGGACCTCTTCAGGGCTCGTTTGGGCCTCAGTGGAGTGGGTGGCCTAGAGAGAACTCCTCAAGACCCCTCAATCCCTCATCAGACAACTTTGCTCAGCCAGACCAAGGCCAGGAGTCCTGAAATGCCTGAGAATTTACAGCACCAGTGTTCAGGGTGTGGCGTGGAGAATCTGACCTGGACTGGAGGCCCCAGAGACGGTCGGACTACCAGACCACCCCTTCCTCCTCTCAAGATCCTTCCACTGGACATTGACTGTAGCTTGCAGTTGCGGCAATTGATGCGAACACGCCTGGGCTCGGCACACAGGAATTCATTCACCAAGCGCCTCTCAGAAGCTCTGACTCAGGACCTTAGCAAGACCTACCAACCCAACGGCCATGCCCTGCCCGTTCCTCAAGACCAGGCTGTCCCACTCAATCTGAGCAAGAAAGCCACCGCCAAGAGGTCTTCTGATGACACAGAGGTTAGGGATTCGCAGTGCCAAAACTATGGAGAATTGCAGGCCAAGAGGCTAAAGATGGAACCTGAAGATCTGCGCCTGACTCTGAAGCAGAACGGAGGTTTCTCAGAAGTTCCACTGGTCCAGGATGAGCCAGCTGACTTGAGTTCTCCACAGAGGGTCAGGGCTCTTCTACAAGGCAGGACTAGCTTATCCTTGACTGGCTCTGAGGCTCCCAGTGCTGATGTCTCCTCTGACAGTGTTTTCCCCTCCAGTGTTTTCTCCTCTGCCATTGCTCGGAGACAGGAGAGTGAATTGATCCCTGTGGATCTCAAGCTGGGGAAGGGCGCTGCCTGTAAAACAGAACCTGAGATAATACCGGTGTATCAGAATCCTGAACCTAAGCGTGAACACCTCTCCAAATGTATGCCTTATGAGGATTCCACAGAGCAGGACTGCAAAGTTCCCTCTCTCAAAGAGCTCTCCAGTTCACACTTATCCAAACCATCACAAAGCTGTTGAAATGCAGGCATGAAAGCATGCCTGCCTAAAAATGTCTCACTGCTAACACTTGTCTACTTCATCACTCCTTTCTGCCTTTTCACTCCCTCTCCCACCCGTTTAGCAAATACATGTTATGGACAATCATTTTCTGTGCATTAGTAATCCATAAAACACTACTACTGTACTAACTGATTTTACCCTGTGGTTTACCTAAGGATAAAGTGACCCACTCAGTTGGAGTATATTTTATATTCAGAACATATAGCATTGAAGAGGTTTGGTTAATAAAGGTTATTTAACATGATTTGGGGAACATTTGGTTTTGTTGTTTAAAAGGTCTAAGTATGTGGTGCTGTTTCAGAAACAATGTAAGTCATATATTTTGAGATTCTTTGTACGTCGCATTGCAAATCACTTCATAGATGTACATCTACACAGCCGCTAATATAAAACCCAGTTCCACAGGAATTGGAAGGCTACTGTATTTTTCTGTCATATTTTATGGTCAAAATATGCTATTTTATGCTAAATAGTTAGTTTTATATATAGTGTAAGCCAGCTTTATCATTTTTCATCTATTCATTGACATGCCATCATTTGAGGCATGATCCTTCTACCATTTTATTTGTCCTTGCTTTTTGTTTTATTTTTTCTCTTTAGAACTTAACTAAAACGAGATCCTTGTGCTGTTTTTCATTGTGTTGATTTTGGTGTCTGTTATACTGTTAAATGTTAAACTTTGTTCTTTGTGCAATTAGTCGTTCTTAGGCTTTAAGGATACTTGTTCACTGAGAGCTTGGTTCCTTTTATATTAAGGGCATTGCTTTTATTGTTAAACTTTTATTTTATATGAATAAGGACTTGTTTTTAGCCACCTGTGAGGGCTCATTCTTAGCCATTTACACTTCAGTATAGAATTTAAGAACATGTTTACAGAGAAGCAGATATGGAGTGACTGTGAGAGGACCACAAATAGCTTTTCTCACACTTTATCTTTCTCTGTCTCTCTCTTTCTCAGTCTTCATTACTGGTTTACAGCATTAATTCAACCGAATGAATCGCAAATAATTTGTGATTTGATTCAGCAGCACTGTTTAATGAGTCTGGCATTAATCCATTATTGTATTGTATCCAACAGTGTTGGACACTTGTTGTTTCTTTTCTTTTCTTTTCTTTTCTGTACTTGAAAAACAACCAAATACAAAACTGCTCTTTATTTAAAGTCATAGGAGCTATGGAAAGGTGCCTAAGTCTTACTAGTGTCAAATTCAGACTGTTTCATTATTTTATGTTTGTAGCGGTTTTAAGCATTTGCCAAAATACTTGGTTTGGTGAAGGTATTTTGAGAAGCAACAACAAAACCTATGGTGATTAATGTGGGTCAGTAACCTTTTAATGATACTGTTTGATTTCCTCTTCCCCCACCCCCTTCTCTTTTAATATTCTATGGACTGTCTGAAAGGAACTCCCTGTTTATAAGTTTGCATTTTCCCACTCTTCTCTTTTAGAATATCCATTTTAAAGAAACCGGACTCTGGCAGAATGTCATAACAACACTGAATATTTATAATAAAGTTACTCTGATCTTGTGTTATTATTGTTGAAAACAATATTTCTTAAAACTGTACTGTCAGTTCTTGGCCAGTGGGCGGCAACATTTGCTCATGGGCTTGTATGCAGTCCTAAAAAAGGAAAGGCCATCCTGCAGTGCACAACATGCAGTCCCCCATTTTGAAGCGAAGGTATTTATTTTCTCCTGCACATTAGAGGGAGAATATTTTTTGTAGGATGGCCGCCATGATCAGCTTCAGAAATATTTGATTATTATATTTTTACTACTTTTTTAAAATATTTTGTGCAAACAGCAGTTTATCACACTGCAGGTCAAAAGTTTGGAACCAACATTTTCAACCAAAAAAAACTAATTCTATTGCGGATACACGTATAAAGTGATTCCTGAGCAGCTTTGCATGTTTCAAGTAACTTCAAGTTTGTCTAGAAGGATTGACAGGGCTGTAGATGACTCTAAAACTGCTGAGAAAGAACAATAAGAATGAAATCTCATTCAAATTGACATCAAAAATGCCTCATATTTCCAATCTGGAGCTGATATAATTTGAGAGTTTATGGATGAAATGCCACTTTCATGATTTCTTTGAGAGTGGGCTTTACACACATACTGTATAATATGTTAGCTGTTATTCTTTTCAAACCCCTTTGTATCCAAAATTGCTACGAATGTTACATATGTATTTACCTACGCATATAGTTTAGCTCCACCCATTCTTGCTGTAGTCAGGAATGTTTCAGCCCTGCTTTTCAATCACAATCATAACAGAGCTCACTAACATATATCAATCTTAAAGGCACAGTAACAAAACCAGCATGCTAAAATACAGAGGTTGGAAAATGATCATGTGAAAATGAATTATGACTGACTTTACTACATAAAACCAGACACATTATAAATAGCACTAAAATTATTGAAGTGATTCTAAACATTGGAATGGTAGTGTTCAGTTCCTGTATTGTACTGAGCAATATGAGTTACTGATCTGAGAAACAAAGGTTAATCATTTTTACACCAATACTAGCTCAGTGAACCTTTTTCCAGTTTTCCAGAGCTGTCAGTCCTGATACACAATACGCTCCTCTGTATGTGACCGGCTCCTTGGCACTTTCCAGTCAGAGCCGACCCCCAGTCCAAACAAAGAAGGAAATTAGTACGTTCCATTGCTTTCTGAACCAACACAAAGACGCACAGGTTAGAACAACACATTTGAAATCTGCCTCAGACAAACTGCTGTATGTAAAGTCAGCAGATAATTACCTGTAGTGCCACATATGCTTTGCAAATATGCATATTTGAAAACTGGTCAGACTTCTCTGGTAATCACAACATTTAAAACTATGTGATCTGCTTTCATTTTCATGTGTCTGGTATGTCTGGGGTACGTAAACTGCAGCCCAGTGTTCTCCTATTTGAAGCTGTCTGTAAGCGTCTAACACCTGATATATCATGTTATTGTTGACACAAGCGATGGCACGTACATCATAAGAAGGCCAAGAGAGGCCCGAAGTAGACGCGTTCATATTTCACTTTCTATCCTCTCGTCTCTCCATAGTACTTCTGTTTTTCTCTTCTACATTTAGGCATGACAGCAATGTTGAGCCATTTGCTTTACAAAATGACAGATGCATATAACAAAGCCCTGTAGTTCTGAAAGAGTAACTTTACTGGAGAATAAAAAAATCTTTAATGTACACTTTTAAAACATAAAGTCCAAAAAGGTTCTTTTTGTAATAATGCCAGGTAAGAACCACTTTGGTTCCCTAAAGAACCTCTCGATGGATAATTCTTTAAAGTGTGAACAACCATGTTAAAGGGCTCATATCCAACATTTTTCATGTATTTTATTTTTTCACTTGAGGTCCACTTATAACATTTGTGTGCTTTTATGCAGCAAAAAGGGTTATTTGTTTTTACATGACCATTTTCCACCCTCACTTTATACCTTTGACAATTAAACAGGCTGTATTTGTTGTTGTGCACTCAGAGCTGAAACACTTCTTAGAACTTCAGTATGAATGGGCAGGGCTAGTCTGCTGTAGGCTGGATAATTGTCAATGAGTTGGTTCTCATGACATCACAGAAACAATCAATTCAAAAAGGGCTCTTTTGGCAGCATAGTTTTCATATATGGACGGTATGGACTGGATAGTGAATAGTATGTTTTGAAACAAAAAAAAAGCAAACTTGGTTTTCCATGATATAAACATCATAGATGAAAGTTCCATACCAATTAAAAGATTTTCTAGAACCACAAATGCAAGCCAAGAACGATTTAGGAACTGTGTTTAGTAGTGTAAGTTAATGTAATGAGATTCTATTTCATGTAATTATGGTCACTTTATCATGAAATGTTCACAAAATGTACAGGGCAGTTGGTGTGTTCAAATGGTGTAAAAATAATGGGGGGAAAATGGAGTTATGGTTTTGATATGACAGCAGCGATACACTCATTTTATCGTGCTTTAAGTGCTTAATAATGTTTAGTTAATCTTTGCATTAGCCATCTGTTTACTCATCTTAGTAGAAGAAAAGGGTGTGTATTTATGTGGGTGTGCTTGACCTGCAAGTCAAATCCTGGTGGAGCTCTACAGTATGTTTACTTTTTACATTGATGAGTGAAACTAGTGTTTTAGGTAGAAAGGGGAATGTTTTTCCATGGTAGTGATCACAGGGTCATTGACTGCTTTCACTTCACTCTTAACAATTAAAACTTGCAGTAAGAGCATGCGCCTAGATATAATCATTAGCCTAGTGTTTGTGTTCCTACTGCAAGTTTCATTACAGAATAGCAGGCGGTCAGCAGGTCAAGGACTTCTCCACCCTCCCGTCCAAACTACACTCTACATCTCATAACAGTCATTTACAGATTATTTCTAGGCTAATTCCATTGTTTTTTACAAAAATTGACACGATTAAATTGAGTAATTAATGTAAACAAAGTCATTCAGAGTGATTTGATGTAAAAAGAGAGAAACTTACCAAGTCAGAATTACCAAAGCACAGTGGTGGTAATAGCCAGACATCTGAAGTGTTTAATTGCTCTAAAAGCAACATCCCAGAAAACTATTACACAAAATGATTATGAAATATTCAGTCTGGCACCTGAGATATTGTTTTATGATTTATTTGAGAAGTTTTGTCCTAAAATGTAGTAGTGGTACATGCAGATACACATTTCATTTTTTCATATTCCGTAGTATTTTACCATTATCAGCATTACTGTAAGTTCACTGGTCATTCTGGATAGCAAATATGCAATTCCTGGTTCGTATCACCACTACTGTAAAGAAAAGAGTTGGTACGTTTCTCTACAATGAGCCATTTCACATCAAACCACTCTGAATCACTTTGTTTGCATCTTGCATTGCACCAAATCATCTTTCAAATGTTACTCCTTCACAATATTACAAAGCTGTATATGTTCAAAACTTTAGAATCATATTAATAATATTGTTGTCGTTTTATATACAGTAATAACTTATGCAATGTATACGTTATTACTGTATACAAAACAATGTAGACTTAAATATTAAAAAGGAACATCTAAAGATATTGATTATTTAAATTCCAAATAGTTTGGAAACAACATGAAGCTATGAAATGCTAAATAATACGTTGTAATTATCCATTTATTATTTTTTCTGGTCAAGTTCTCTACCTTAAGATGTGATCACTACTTTTGCATATAAGACACTGTGGATGTTCGTTCCTTCATTCATATGTTATACAGATTTCTCTGTCATTTTTGATTCATCTACAGCTCTGTTTTTCATTCTGGGCCTAAAATGTCTTAATGTTTCCAACTTTCCTTGAAATTATTTGAAATGTTTTGCCATTGTTAGCATGTTAGAAACACAATATGATCTTGGTTCTAAATTATAATCAACACGTATTCAGTATAATCAGTATTATTGTTTGATGAATGAATTAGCAATATCAATATTATCTAATATGCATAAATTATGACAATCATGTATTGCATTTCTTTTGTTATATGTTATCCTGAGCAAGTGAGAAGTGGTGAGTTTAGGAAAGGTAGGATAGTAGGTGGGATAAAATGTCATTGTATTAAAAGATAGTTAATAAAATAAGAACACTTTCTTTCTCCACCCATAAAGGAATTAACTGGCAGCAGGTTCTCTAGTATAGTGCCTTTTACAATACTGATACTGCTATTCACAATTGTAGTGCAATTCTGTGATCCAAATATACCATGTATTACTTAGTTTTCCCCAGAGTTTGACTGTACTGTTCTTACAGTAAGATATTGTTTACATACAGCACCGTACTGTAACTCCTATTTTTATAGTAATACTGTAATTACAGTAGTCTACTGTAGATACCTCACTGTTCACAAACGTCTCAGGGAAGTATTACATATTGTTAAATTTCAGCTAAATACAGCTATTTAAAGCCAGCAATATGATCATGCCGTTAAACTGTTTACCAAGCACATCTTGTACACGTTATAGCAGTTATATGCAGCTATGTCAGTCTTTAAATATCTTTAAATATTATCTTTATCTTAGAAACAAAAGTTAACAGAAATGAACAAAAATGCAAGGAACGCTGGGAAGCTCCGCCCCCATTTCTACAATATTCAGAGACAGGCAGCACAACACTGCCCACTTTATCAATATGCTCTTACAGTAACATCCAACATTTTAACTTTTTTGACTTGAAGTTTGACCTGTATCTCCCAGAATGCACCATTTCTTGCTGCTGTATTTAATCACTGCAGTACATTACTACAGCATTTCCACTGTAAATTTACATTACAAGATATAAAGTTTTGTTATATGCAACCGTCATTCTGTGAGGCAATCAGCTCAACATTACTGTTATGTAGAAAAGACCTTGAATCTCTCTTGACCTTCTTATGGTGTACATGCTATCAGTTGTATCAACAATTACGTCATATTTTGAGCAGTAGTGCACAAAATAGTGTTATCAGTTTTGATACAGTTATCACCCTACCAACCTTCAAACTCATTTCAAAGCTGGGGCTTAATGCAGTCATGAAATCCGAAAGCCGTATTGTTGTTAGCACTCAGCTGCCGGTTCTATTTGAACATGGTGTGAATTCACACTGAGGCTCACACACATTTTCTTTTGGACGTCTGCCTGGTCCCTGCCGGACAGATGTCTTCCCTGAGCACAATCCTCATCACCACAGAAAATAATTGCTACCTTTTGCAGGCCGTAGGAAACAGCTAGGACTGGACGGGTGAGAAAAATTAATTAATGTTAACCCATTTAATGGGCAGAGGAAGGTGGAGGGGGGTAGGGTGGCTCAGGGGCAGAGCGAGATTCGTATTGGATGAGACAGCACGTAAGGAGGGGAGTGTGAGTGGGGGAGGTAGGATAGTGGGTCACTGCTGTGGAGGCGGGGCTACGCTTCCAGAGGGTGATGTGCTAAGCACCATGGCTTAGTGTATGTGAGGGTGAGTGTGTGTGGATGCCGGGGTATTCGTTTTGGGGTGAGCTGAAATGTGTGGGCTGTGGGATAAACTCTATCATCTCACTGCCTGACCGAATGATAGGCACACATTGTCCCACGTGATGACTGACGGCTCATGGTCTTGGATACTCTGGCCAAAATGAAAAATGCAACCATTGCTACTGCTGTTGCGAGCATGCCTACTGACCTCTTACAGTGGTGCTGCAGTAGTTTCTAAGGTGTGATTTCCTGGTTAGGAAAACTCCCTTCTGACCATGTATTTTGAAGATGGCATGGGGGGAGGATACTTGTGGGCTGGTTGGTTGAAATTGTTTTTGCTAGCTGGCTTATTCTTCTACTGAATTATTCTTTTAGAATAAATTGGAAAAAAAAAATTAACAACCACCTGAGGTTAGTGCTATGTCACTAATGCTGGCTAGCACCACATATGCATTTATTAGGCTCTAGATCAGTGGCTGGCAGTCAGGATTTGCTGAGTACTGCAGGGGTCCCCAGTGATTGTGTTGTGTATTTACGTAATGCATGCTGGGTACTGTAGTAGGAAACACTAATGATTGAAAACACCAAAATAATTCAAAATCATTCAATTCTGTCAATGCAATGAGGCTGAGGGTTGCAGCATTGCACCACGCAATACTGCATAGCACGATAAATTACATATTAAGTGCTAGCGTTAGGTCAGAATGCCCCTTTAAGCCATGATCGAGGATTTAGAAAAATGTAGAGTGCTGGCACCATTACTGAGATAGCACAGCTTTAGCTGAGGTTTTTCCTTTAATCTGTACAGGTTAGTCTTAGGCCATGGAAAATGGGACAGCATGAGACTAGCATCTTTCCTTTATTACATTTTTTCTTGGTACCTCATACACAGAAGAGCTCTCAGTCTACTTGGTCTTCATGGAGTACCAGGCATTCCTTTTTTTTATTTATTTACTTTTTTACTTGACAACATGGAGAATTTTTTTGCTTGTTAACAGTACAGCACCCTTTTGTTTTTTGGCACACAGCCATTCTAATGGGCTTACATTTTTTCTGTCATTTCCCTTCACTTTCCAAACAGCTTGAAGGTCTGGCTCCTCTGAACTCTCAGATGGCTCAGGCTTATTAGCCTCTGCTAGTTCGAGCGAAGCACACGCCTGGAGCTTCCGTGGCTTCAGGCAAGTAGCCTTTTCCTTCCACCCAGACGGCAGACAAATATCTCTGGGGAGTCTGGACAAAACCTTAGCCAAAAATGAGGATCATAACATGTCTTCCATTTTTGGTTTCATAGCCTGTTGGCAGGTCAAACTTTATAAACAAGGCAGTTGGCTAAAAGTCCCATATCATGGAAAAGTGAATGTTCTTTACTTTTTCTGAAGTAACACAGTTTAAGGTAGTTTGTAAACCTTATTAAAATGTTAAACTTGCCAGTCCATATGGTCCACAAAGGTGGCAAAGCAAACCATTTAAATATATCTACATATTCAACCTACAGCCCCGCCCACTCAGACTGAAGTTATAAGGAGTGTTTCAACCTGGACTGTTTTTTTGAGGGCAATACAGGGCAGCCAATCAGAGCGGAGCTCCTTTGCATAAAGCACAGTAACAAAAACTGCCTGTTTGATTCTAAGGCATAAAAAGATGTTGGAAAAGGGTAATGGATGACTGGATAAAAAAATAATAATAATCATGACTGTTTTTGGTACATAAACCCACACAAATGTCAGGAAAATAAATAAAAGAAGAATGAAGAATATAATCCCTTACATTCCAAAAGTGCATATGCAGCCACTACAGCCTAGAATCTACTCTAAAAAAGGAATAAGGAATGATTGCAAACCTCCTTTATCCTATGGCGATGTAGGCAGTTCATTTCCCTATGCCATAAAATCATAGAGGAACTATTAAGCTCTTAAGCGTCTTATCTCAGAGACATCCCGCCTGTGACTGTGGCAAAAAATACCCTGGGCTTTTTTGTGCTGACGGTGCTGCACTGATTTTCCAGCGGCCATTGAAAATTTGGCACTAGGACCACGCAGAGAGACAGAGAGAGTGAGAGAGAGAGAGAGACAGAGAGAGAGAGAGAGAGAGAAAGCAGCAGCAGCAGCAGCACTGTCTCTTTGTTCCAGACACAGTATCGTCCCCCCCTCCACCTCCAGCAGCCACTCTCACCACTCTTCCCCATCGCGGTGCTACACTGGCCTGGATGACTGCAGCAGCAGCGACATGGCTGTGAATCTCAGGACGAACAGACTGACCCTGCTCACGGCTTACCAGGATGTTATCGACGAGACGTCGGCCACTGACTGGTAAGACCCTATCCATTTTTTCTCACTCGTTTTTGACCGTGGCGCATTGGCTTTGGCTGTTCAGTTTCCCCGCGATGAGGTTTCCATTGTGGCGGAGCTGAGGATGCTTCCATGCCGCATCCCGAGAGAGGGAGGGAGAGGTAGAGAGAGCGTGTAACGTTAACTAGCATTGGTTTGGTTTGAGGGGAAAGAGTGTGAAGGCTATCGCTTTAGCTTTTTGAGCTGGGAATAAAAGATTCCGTTAGCCACTTCTGACGAGAAAATGATACCGAAAGTGTGCTGGACGGAGGGGGAATCTGGATTAGTTTCAGTCTGAATGTGAGCATTTGAGCAGCTCTGAGGATTTGCAGCCGTACAAAAGCTATTTTTCGGGCTAATGAGGGATTTCCATTGCAGATAGTGCTCAACAGTCAGTGTCACCCACTGACGAGTTGTGCAAGATTTCTTTTCTGTTTGTTCAGTCGATTTGTTCAGATGGCCTCCCGCACGACTGTGACTCGTTAGCTCGAAGCTTTCAGACGAAAACCACTCCTTACGGTCCAGAAATCCACTTCATAACTGGACTCCAGGCTGTGCCTGTGGAGCCGTTGTGTCCCGGCGCAGGGAGGAGGAGATGGGCGAGGCCAGAAGTGCCAGACTGACTGACATCTCTTTATTGTGAGCTTCTACTTCTCTCTCACGCTGAGCTCATCCGTTATCAGCACGTTACACCTGAGTTACAGCTGCGGGTCTTTTACATACGAAGAGAATTCGGTCCATTTTCTGTCCACTGCCGCGGTGTAGCTGTCTTACATGGAGTTTCGTTTCTCTTTGTGTTGAGGTAAAAGTATTCTCGGCCTGTAGATTTCGGTGCAGCTGCAGAGCCACTCGAGCACATGGTCGATATGGTCGAGACTGCTTTACCTTTGTCCTTGGTGTTGCCATGTTTGTCTCAGCAAAACAAAAAGACTGACCACATCTGATCCAAGCTTACAGGCTACTCTGAGTCTTGTCCATAATTTTACTCGCAGTAGAAGAAGCACATAATGGCATAAAAGATGGTTCTTCGAGGGTTCTTTAGTAAAGACAGTGGTTCTGTATAGAACCAAGAACACTCAAAGAACCATCTGCATGCTTCAGTGGTGAAATGGTTCTTCAGATTTATGGAGAACATGTTGTATATGGTTTCTATATAGAATCTTTTTTTAAATGGTTCTATATAGCACCAAAAAAGGGTTCTGCTGTTGTTATGATGTCAAGCTTGTAACAACAGAAGAATCCTTTTTTTTTGGTGCTATATAGAACCACTTTTAAAAGAGTTCTATGTAGGACCATATACAATATATGCTTGATCATTTCACCATGCAAAGAACCATTTAAGCAAGCAAATGGTTCTATATAGAACCACTGTCTTTACTAAAGAACCCTTAAAAAAACATATTTTATAAGAGTGCCACCTGAACGAACTGCAATCATTTGGTGTTAACAGTTATGTTCATTCCACTCTTAGCAAAGAGGCTTCCATCAAGTACCAAAAAAAAGTTAATTTTAACAATAGCGGAATATTTTTAGGTGCTATATAGAACTGATTTGTCAAAGGTTCTTTAAAGAACCATACACAACAGTTATAGAGAAGATCCATTTAACAATGTAAAGAACCTTTTTTGAATTCAAATGGTTATTTGAGTATACTCAGCAAAAAGGGTTCTTGACAGTACCAAAACTATGGCTTGTTACAACAGTGGAACTCTTTTGGTGCTATATAGGACAATTTTAACAAATTTAGAGTCTTTAAGGAACCACATACCCTAAGTTTTCCATCATAGAAAAGAACAGTTTAATTCTGACAGTAACCATTCATGCATTCACATGGTTCTTTGAGTTGTGACGGTTCTATATATAACCATTGCTTTTAGTAAAGAACCCTTAAAGACCCCCTTTTCAAAGGTTGAATAGAATCATTACCTATACTAAAAAATTAAAGAATCATTTTTAAGGATGACATAGATCTCTGCACACAGAAGAAGCACCTGAAGATACTATAATATCACTACTACATTGTTTAACTCATTTACAAAGTGTGCATATATATATAAATATATATATATATATATATATATATATATTTATATATATATACACACACACATTTTTTCACTCTGACAACCTCAATAACCTGAATAACTGCAATAATCTCACCTAGCACAACACATTGTCTTTCACACCCATACAATGATTGGATAATTTACTGAGTGTGACTTGGAGAGCATGGAGTCATCGCAAACCATCTAGGGACTCAAACCATACACACTTACATTAGATTGGAGCATCAAAAAGGTTCAGATTTCTTCACCATGTTCGGCCCCCATATTTGCTTGTTTGTCTGATTACTGCTCAGGTTCGACTGATATTGCAAAGTGCCCCAGGCTTGCCCCCATTACTCACACTTGAAGTGAGGCGAACAAAGACGAAGCTTTTCAGCCATGGGTGACCCTGTAAACAACTGTCCTCCCAATCTAAATCACCCTTGAACTCAGGCCCAAAGAATGTGTCTGCCCTATATCAAACCCACACAGTTTCTCTCAGAGCCACACACAGTTTCTCAGCTGCACCACCAAGCTGGTCTCAGTATGACTGTAAGTGAGCCTCAGTGTCTGCTTTTATGTGTTCATATTTGACCTTCTCAATAAGTGTGGCTGACTGTCCTTGTCAGAGATGACTCCCATTCTCCCTGTTCTTCTGCCTGGTGTTGGTCCTGTGCAGCGCTACAGTATGCACACCAACCACCCCAACACACACATACACACTCACACTCGTCAATAAGCCCCCACGGCCATGAAACCTGAATACAAAGCAAGCTCTGTGCTGCAAGCTGCAGTCAAACACCCAGGGATAACCACTGCACAGACCACCATGTGAACAATACCCACCACCTGAAGGTGTTCTTCAAAGGTAAGCAGATAAAAACAGTCATCCCTAAATTATCTTCTCTAGCCTGGGTGAGGAGGAACTCACAAAGCCTTCTGATGATGGAGATTAATGTGTCTTTTGTAGGTTGTTAAAGCAAAGGACCATCAGTATTCTTTGCAGGGAATATGATAGGTCCTGATAAGGGTGCCTTAGGTAAGGGGGATTTTTGAGTTATTAAAAAAAGATGATGGAGAACATCAGAGTTATTGAATATCAAACAGTTAGAGACGCAGTTAGTGTGCTGTACAATATGGCTCTGCAGCTGAGGCACTGAAGGTTATGCATATATTTTACTTTACTATCTCTTTAAGAGTAATTACAGTTAAGTTTTCTAAGTCAGTTTATTCCAGTCTGTTTATTTCACAACTGTTAGAATTTTTGGTTATGGACAGAAATAATTGAAAGTGTGGGTATGGCGAACACAAAGTTAATAATTCACTTCATTAAGATAAGGGGTATCTTCAGGCATGGATGATCTAATGGATTTTCATTGTGTCACGGCCAAAAACAATCCTGACGCTCTCTATACCCGCTTCATTTTCTCCTCCAAACACTGCCTGGCAACTGTCACACTATCCACCATTAGCTCGGTCAAGCTTTCAGGTATTTTTTCAGCATTAAGCTAGCATTCCTGTAAATGTACTTTGAGTTTGAAGCTCCAGATATTCAAAAGATGTGGCTGGGGATCTGCAAAATGAGACCTAATACTTCAACAGAGTAGAGGATGCCTATTTCCAAAACCAAATATAAAATATCAGCTTCCTGCATGAAAGAAATGCTGCATCCTATAAAAAGCACAATTTTTGAAACAAAAGCTGTGCTTTATAGTGTCTCAAACTAACATTCTAGCCACAAGCTAAAATGCTAGTCACAATAGCATTAGTTGTGATACAATTTGATCCAGTATGATATATTGTATTGTTATATCCCTAATAAAAAGTAACAGTTACTCGAGCTCAAAATATCTACCACTACCACTTCATCTCTGGTCCCCCCACCACCATGAAGATCAATCTGGCTTTTGGGCAGTGTTTTTACAGTGCATGAGCCCTTTAAATGTCTCCTAGATATTCAGTCCCGCAAATCTAGACAAGTTCTGCCCTGGTTGCGATGAGTAAAGTGGCTTTGAGTAATTCATTGAGGAGCTGAACTTTAATCTGTCAACACATACACGCTTGGTAGTGCACTATAGACTAACAGAACACTTTCTTTTTGCTTCGGTGATACTGGAGATTGGTGAGGGACACTTACACGGCACACTTGATCAGTTTGCCAATTAGGCAAAGGAGGCTCTAAAGCTATAAAGGTGTTTTTTGTTCTTGGTAACAAACACTTTTTCACCCATATAAGTCAATACATGAGCAGATTTTGGTTTCATTGTAATTACTCTGATTCACATGCATAAAAACTGTAAAGGAGTAAAATGGACAAGCAGCATCTATTTTTGAAGCTGAAAAGAGCACCCATTGTACTCTGGCTCCTTCACAGCAACTACCTTTTTTGAAAGAAGGGATCATTTCTTCCTTCAGAACCAAGCTAGAAAGCAGATGGGCCGAAGCCTTTGTACTTTTTGCCTTGGTCTTCTGAGCAGCAGCACAAACAAAGCTAGGGAATTTTGAGAGTCCACACAGAGAGGCCCTGGAGACACCTCTCCTGCTTGCATTTGGCTGCCAAGGAACGTCCGAGAAGTCGGCGGGAGGACCGGGAATTCTCGGGTCACGTGCTGTGCCAGTTTCTTAGGTCTAACCATTTTGCTAAGGTTTCTGTGTTAGGGCCAGACTATGAAATCACCTGGGGGAGTTTTACCAACAGAGTCCAAGGGTCTGATGCCTGCATTCCTCCTGGATCAAGTCACCATCTTAATCATGTTCAGCCCTCCGCCATTTGTCATGACTGACTGCTGCTAGATCATTGTGAGAGGGAGGACATAAATGCCATTTCTTTGACTTGGGAATGTGTACTCGTAAATTTAAGCGCACAACTGAAATTCACACCAACTGCTTTGGGAAGGGCACAAAAAGAGCCATCAGCCACCAGAAGGTACATTCTGAGAAAAAAATGCAAATATAAAGTAGTCTAATTGATGAAAGCACACGCTGTGTTATCCTTTTTCAGACATGCATTGTGTGGACAAATGCTTCTTTACTCGCTCTTCTCATGGACTCAAGGCCGTCTGTGAAAGATAGCTGATTCAGAGGATGGCTGTCTGCTTCTCCACATGACCTGTAGTCTATAGCATGTAGAAGTGATTGAAGAGGATTGCTGAATGGCTCTTGAACCCTGGCATTACTGGAGTGTAAACTCGTCCATCTCCCAGTTTCGATAAGATCTGGACCACAAAGTCTTTGTGAATAGAACTGAGTAGCATATGTACCCACTTTTCAGTGTTGCTGCTGCAGCTGCTAGTAATCAATAAATGCTTCATTTGTTTTCCTCAAACTTGTGCTTCTTTTTTTTTATCTGTGATGTTTTTTGGAAAAGTAATGCTTGCATATGTCAGATTGCTCTGACAAGCTGTTCCAAAATTTATGGACTTCGGTCCGTGACATTTTCATTTTCATTCTGGCTCTCAGTCTCAAAATCTGAATTTTTTTAAAAGGCACAACTGCGTGTGCAACTAAAAGCACTTTGCCTGACATATCTAATGAAGGAAAAGATGTTGAGAGAACTGGATGCTCTACTGGGAGTTTTCTGAGGTGCATAAAAAG